GTAATATTAGCTGCCGTGGTCTGAAGCTTGTACACGGATCATTAATATTCAGTGATCGAATACTGAGACTGTGACGTCACGAATATGTTCATAACAGTCTGGTACGTACCACTTCGACCGGAAAAGACTGTATTTCATACCTTACAGTGTTATTTGGCTGTTATTCGACCTAATAATTGGTAATATGGTGTTCTAGATATATCCACCGTCCCACTGTATACATTATATTTGATCGAAAAGTGTAAATGTTGGCGTTTTTATGCTTTAAATCGCAGTGATACTGAAAACTAGCGAGGTGGCAAGATGGCGGCTAGTTCAGCGTTGAATTGCAGTTTGGTGTAGAGAGTGGAGGCTTACTATCACAATAGTGCCGGGGATTACTCGATTTTCATGTCCAGAATGCCTCTCACACAGATTTCAGTCATTCCTGTGAAGGAGCCACAACAGCAACGCACAGATGACGTGAATAAGGTGAGTGTCCAGCTGTAACGTAATAAACCCTCTGTACAACAATATCATAATGACCGCCATGGACAAAACTAAACGGTATGAATTATTTCTCGTAGTCAGGGAAGACTTAATGACCCGATTTCATGGTCGATTTGAATACCGTGATTGTAATTTTGCAACGTAAACGCCATTTAAAAACTGTACATACATGTACAAGAGAAACGAGAGAAAAAAAACAGCCAAAAAACACATGCAGGGATGCAAGTCTAATCTGTCCTTTATTATAATATATTTTTATCTCATAGAAAATTCGCGCTAAGCTCTATCGTACGCTCAATAATACTTTCTTGGAGTTCTAACAACCTATCCAATATTCCAAAAGAGTAGGGGTAACTAGAGATGATTTCCAAACAAAAGTTCAAAGTTCCCCAATTGGTTTTCATGAATGAGTGCTTGAATTGCATGAAAACTTGAATCATTGACACATGCTACATGTACCTACAGAACTGAAATCAGATTGGTGCAATTAGTTTAAATGATCAGCAAATCGAGACAAGTTAGGTTGAAGACATTTGACATATTATTTTGACAGATTCATATTTTAGTAAATCAAAACATGCTACATAGATACGCACTATAATTAACATACTAAATTATTAGACAATTTGTTTTTCTGATGTTTAAGTTCCATTCCATGTTTTGATATGATGACCATTTCTTCAGAATAATAATTTTTTTGATCATTGACCAATTCTTATTGATTATTGGTAACATTATAAATGTTGTTCAGAAATCAGAAAAATTTGCTATTGGTGATAGGCAAAGGGTTTAGAGGAAGCTATGACCTTCTAACGACTATTGCAAAATTTTGTCTTCATGTACCCCAAATTGAGAAAATTTCTAACCTTGCTTCAAAATTAAATATTGTACACATACTGTAGAATACTTTATTTTCGCTTGGAATTTATTTTCGCTATTTTCGCTGAGGGGATGATTCCGTGAAAATAAAATCCAGCGAATATACTTTTTTTCCTATATTTCACATTAAACTCATCAAAAATCAGTGAAAATAAATTCCATACAAAATGCCCAAAAAGCCTTTTCAGTTAAAATTAATTCCAGCGAAAATAAAGTATTCCACAGTATATATGTACATTGTATATTTACATTGTATATTTTTACCAGTACACATGCATGTATATACAATACTGTAGAGGAAATTAATCATTAGCCCTTGAGACATTTTTCAATGCCGTCCTAAAAAAATACAATTTTTGTAGGTTTTATATTAGTTAAATTATGTATACATTCGGAAAGTAAAAGCAAAGTGCAGCATTGCTTGTCATATTGTGTGTAATTTGTTACAAAGGTGTGGAAAGTCCATTTGTTTCATCGTCTCTAAGATGCCTTTCTGTTATTATATTTTTTTAAGTGTAGACATTGGACTATTGATTTCTTGTTGTTCAAGTAACAGCACTGTATAAAATGCAACATAAATTGTATATGAATGAGATATGGTATGCGTAATGACAAATTATCTCACTCGCTGACAGCATCATATGGATTCACATTCACGTTCAGTTTATCCTTTGAGTTATTGAATTTGCAAATGTCGCATGATATTTTTGATCAATTGATTCATTAATAATTACGCATCTCGTGCTTAGCCATTGACCTACTGTACAGTTTAGGTTTTGATAATCCATCTGATGTCATTTTTATGATCTGCTTTGACTAATTCAGAATGTTAAAAAATATAAGGGTATGCTTTAAAATACATCTGAATATTCAAAAATTTTAATCAAATTTTAATCAAAGCATATTTATATATACAGTACTATACATGCAGCAGGTATATTTTTAAACAAGGGAACATGGACGCAGCGCCCTCATGCCATGGCCATGCACCTCCTTACCCTGGGGAGCAGATCTATGGCAACCATAAAATTCTGATTGACCAGAGATCACATGTGGCCACAGTCTTCAACTGTGACCTGTCTGATAGTAATTTTTGCCCCAAGGAAGCCATAGAATGCTCCACACCACACCCTGGTAAGGAGAACCCTATCTCTCCCACTTGGTGGCACCGCTGAATTGCAGTGCTCCCTCTTGTAGTTTTTTTTCTATAAAAAGCCCCTGATGCAGGGCGGAATTTGATGTGTAAAAAAAATGTTTAAACATGCTGCTATTGATTGGTTGACTCTTAGGGTTGGGTAACCAATCAGGCCCAAATCTTGTAAGTAGCTTCCGTACTGACTTGTAATCTGCCCTGTTTGGTGCTGAAATTATGTTATTGATGATGTGATGTCCATTTCAATGAAACGCTGAAGGTAGTCAACATACAAGAGTTTACATTCGATAGAGCTTTGTAGAAAATACACAATTCTCCCAAAAAATAACAACAAACTGGATACTCTTTTTTTTACCCCAAAGATATATAATGCAAGTTTGTATGCAAAATCTCTAAAACTTCTCAGCAGATTTTGATAGGTAATGGAGTACAATTTATTGTAAAATGAATAAATTCATTCATTTCTCAATGATATAAGGGGGCCTGCCTGTTTATAGTGGTATCCGTAAACTGGCTGGCCATTAGTCTAATGCAAAATTATTAAAAACATTCAATTGCAGAAAAACATGTGAAAAAGCGTGCCAATATAATTTTCAAGGTCAGTAAGTAAATAGTTGTATTTTAGGTCCCAAATGCGAAAAATTGTCATGCGTTTATTGGCTCTTATCAGTTAAGCTGTATGTAAGCGTATTTTCAAAAACCAAGTCAGGTCAGAGGTGTACATACAGTGTATTATGAGGTACAGTATGAATCAGGAAAATATTAAATAGTCGCATTTTTTTGCTTTTTTCACTAATTGTTATCAAACCTGCACCCTCCATAATCCCCAGTGTCTTGTACATTTGTACAACTTGTAAAAAAGGTTTTCAAAATCAGAAATGAAAAACAAATCAAGCAAACATTGCATATAGTATTATTGCAGTGCACTAAGGTGAATGCTTTACTATGCCAAAGCTCATTGTTTTTTAATAAACCAGCATATGGTTTGTATGCGTTTCCAATGGAACAAGTAAAATACAATTGCACTTTTGGTCAACTTTATAATCATGTCATTTCTGCATAGCATTATGCTGAATGTGTTTGTACATGTATTAGTAAAAACCAAACTTTTGTATTCTGAATTTAATTTTGTATTATGACTGTTGCAAGGAAAGTATTCACACATTCAATGATTTGTCGTAATATAATTTTTCTTATCAGTCTAAGTAAAAAATGTTCAGGTTTTTGGTCACTTTCCACTTCCTACGTCAGCTAAGTTTTTTGTCAGAAATGAAAGCAAAATTCAGTTTTCATGAGAAATCTTAAATTTAATGACTTTCAGAAAAAATTAAAATAAAAAGCTGCCCATGCACATCAATTTTATGAAAAAAAATTGCCCATGATATACATGTATCCTCATATCGAGTGTACCGTAATACATGTGAATACTGTAGAACACGTTGAAATAGCTGCATGCAATTTTAGCGGATTTGACTCTTGGCATGAATTAACAGAATCTTAATTTAGCTAAAGTGTTGACTATCTCATTGTGAAAATATACGTTTTGTTAAATTAGTTACATCTTAAATTAGCGAAATTACAGAATAGCTAAATTAGCTTAATTAACATGCATGCTAAAAGACATGTTTTACAGTATGCAGATATTAATTTTATATGCTACCCAGGCAGATTCTATTTATCATTCAGGGGTTTCACAAATGTATTTAATAGCAGGCCACCATCCCGTAACAACAGGACAAAAAATAAATAAAAAGGCTCTCTGCGTGCAGCATGGCTGGCGTAGGCGGTTAGGGTGATGGGAAACCAGAAAGTAGAGTGCCAATTTGGGCTTGTAGCCATATGGCCTGGGCAGGCTCTTAACGAACCCCCTGTCATTATTATTATTATTAATTAATAAGTAAATGACAGATTGTCAAATAGTTGTTTTGAACAGTTTCTTATTCAGTGGTTTGTCTGGAATGAATAAATTTGTTATAATCAAACCCAGGATTATCTTATCTTTCGATTTCAGTAGTTTATTTTTACTTAAATATACTTTATTTATAGACTTGTTACTATTTTTACTCACTGTGTGTGTGTGGGGCTTATTTGTTTCAAGGAAAAAATTTGTTTGTTTTTACGACAAGGATTGCATATCTGATTTGGGAAGAAAAATTTTAAGGACTTAGAAAAAATGCACTTGTTACACAAGCCTCCAATTACTGGTTTAATATATGCAATAACATTCTTACCCAACCAAAATATCTACAATGGATGCCTTAGTACATGCAGTTTAAGGTAGCGAGAAGTCTGCGATTGCGAGAGCACACTGAGGAATTTCCTGGTGAAATTTACGTCATGCATTGTCCGTAATCAAGTCCATTGAAATGCGTCTCCGATAATCAAAAGACCTATTATTCCGATTTCTATGCAGGTTTGTTTTTTTGTCCCCAAATTATTTCATACTTGGCACCTTTAACAGACTATTATTCTGTGACAAAGCATTTTCTTTAAAAACCCAGACATATTTCGCACCATCATTATCTTTTGTACGATAACTGCGCGTTTGAATGTCCTAGTCCGAACGCACTTGATTTGGCGGCGGTCCCAATGAGTCGTACTCGATCAAAACTTCAACTAGAAAAA